GATCTACACCTTCTACTTTCACTCTGGCTTATCTACAATGTGAAGATGTGCATACTTGCTTTTGTGTGATTGGTGTTCTGCATCCTGTTTGGCCAATAGCTTCTAGTTGAGCAGCTGGAAAGCAACGAAATCAGTGGCCTTTCGTCCACTCCAACATGTTTTCAAATCTGGACTATCTGGATCCTTTAGCGCGCATTTGTCGAAATGCGAGATAGAAACCTGTGCTGGATCACAAAAATCTTGTTGTGTTAAATAAAAAATTGTGTGAAACTGATAATAGTCAAATTTACCTAGTCCTTGCTCTTCACGGAGTCTTGACTCAGCACGCTTGCTAAGACGCTTTATTATTTAAGAACGGCCGTGCGAGAAGGTTGAGTTTGGTTCACCATTTGAAACTTCGAGGTATGAAATTTTGACGAGCAAGAATAAGTCGCCTCCCACCTTTTTCATAACAAACAGCCGAAGCTCAGGAATGTGGATATCTATTTGACAGGAATAAATTCGGTCTGAGGAGTCTGCTTCTATTCATACAACAAAACCACCTCCGAAGACGGTCTTTTCCATTTGCGGGGTGAACGGACACGCAGCTATAATAGCCTGCCACTTTCCGTTCAGAAGTGCACGGAAATGCAGCTGGAAGGTAGTGATACCCTAGTGCCGTCCCGTTCCCTGCCTGTGCTATTGTCAGGGTTTAGCACTTGCGTCGAAACATAGGGGCGACAAGACGTGACAGGGTACAAGAAATGGACGTAAGAAGGTGCAGACGAGTAGTACATTGGCTTGTGGCTTCGTCTGCAGTATGGATTCTGCGCTCGGGTATCGCTAACCTCCAGCTCTGTTCGCGTGAACTTCTGACCGGTGGTTGGCACGGTGCCTCAGTTGCGGACCATTCACGGGCTCCACATACCGATGACCTATCTCGGAAATTGAGTATACCGTTTCTCTTCAAGATAGCAGTCAAGTAATAACTTATGTTCTTGATTCGAAAATTGAGTGCTTGTTTCTTATCAGGTTTTAGCAGGCTGTTTTTATCAAGTTTTTACCTAACTGCTCTTTGTTACAGTACGAGGAGCTGATGACATCACCTGCTGCTCACTATGGGTTGCGACGTCTTCTGAAAGCGTGGCTCATCAGTCATCCTCAGTATGTCTACTGGCAAGGGTGTGACAGCCTGGCGGCACCATTTCTATTGTTACATTTCAACCGCATGCGTTAGTTCTTTGATCTCTTTTTCGCCACTTTTGACCTTTACTGCTCCACCTCTTCAGAACTTTGGCCTCATCTTAATCGGAATCTCCGCCGCCCGACGGGCGCCGGCTCCATGGAATAGCCCGTATCTGGCGTTGTCTGCCAGCGTCCGAATCGTCTTAAACAGGAGATCGAACATACCTCCGCTGCAACTTTCCGCCTGAGCCAACCCGGGAACATTTTCTCGCGCCCGACAGACCTGCTCGCTCCCCGGTCTTCCCGACGGCAGTGGCAACCAGCCCGAAAAAGCGGCTTGATTCATGCGCTTTTAAATGAACTCGAAAAAACAAAGATAAAAAGAAAATGACAGAAGTTCATTATAGGTACCTATAAAAAGGGGGAATGACGAATCTCTTTGCAGCAGCTGATCCCAAATGTGAAACAATTTATGTATGGGGAGGACATGGGCAAAGCACGTGAGAAACCATGGTATAGCAAACAGTTCCGGATAAAACTCCATAGAAGCCAACCGAGTATACAACTTAGCATCGACATAAGCCAGCAGATGGTTGAATACAGCCAGTTGTTCTGCAACCAGTACGCTTCGTGCTCATGAAGTGTTATGAAATGAATACGTTTAACGAATGCTCACCTTGGATCACAGCAGAATTATCCTTTAGGAAAAAGTTGTTGAGATACTTTCGGATGAAAGCAGTGAGACAGGCAAGCGCTGTAGCTGAAACAATGAAAATTAATGTGAAAAGTCAAGAGATCCAAGAAAAGGGCATAATTAACCCTTTCCTGTTCCACTCCTCGAAACCCAGGCGACATTTCGGCCGAAAAATTTCCCCGGGGGTGGGCTCAGCGGAAAGTTTGTCAGCGGAGGTATTTCGATCTCCTGTAAACGATTCGGACCTGCAAAACGCCAGATACGGGCTATTCCTATGGGAGATTCCGATTAAGATGAGGCCAAAGTTCTGAAGAGGTGGAGCAGTAAAGGTCAAAAGTGGCGAAAAAGAGATCAAAGAACTAACGCATGCGGTTGAAATGTAACAATAGAAATGGTGCCGCCAGGCTGTCACACCCTTGCCAGTAGACATACTGAGGATGACTGATGAGCCACGCTTTCAGAAGACGTCGCAATCCATAGTGAGCAGCGGGAGATGTCATCAGCTCCTCGTACTGTAACAAAGAGCAGTTAGGTAAAAACTTGTTAAAAGCAGTTTGCTAAAACCTGATCAGAAACAAGCACTCAATTTTCGAATCAAGAACATAAGTTATTACTTGACTGCAACCTTGAAAACAAGGGGTATACTCATTTCCGAGATAGGTCATCGGTATGTCTGAGGTGAATAGTCCGCACTGAAGCAGCGTGCCACATTATCCGGTCAGAAGTTCACGCGAATAGAGCTGGAGGGTG